CAGGAATATCTTGGGTTCTGGGCCAGCCTGACATCCACAGCAAGACCCTATCTCAAAATAAACAAACAAAAATGAAAAGTAAAAAAGAAAATAAGACACGATCTTATTAATGCTCTCTCAGTGCTGTTAAATCAGTGTCCTTTAATTTTTCTCCCAATTACACTGATCTCCACAATGAATACTCTGTCAATCTCTTCTACTTTTTTTTATTGGTTCTTTGTGTGTATTTCATACAGAACATCCCAAACAATCTTATTCATCTTTATACCTGCATCCCAAATGTCACCCTCCCATAGCCTCCTCCTGCAACTGGAGCTCATATACTCTGTCATCCCTGTTACTATCCACTGTGTTATCAGTGCCCCCAGCCATTCCCCAGTGCTAGTCCATCCGCTGAGTAGAGTTATCCTATCTAGAGTTCCACGTTTTAGGAAGAACAGCTGTTCCTCATATAGCAGCAATCAGTTGCCAACACTCCTTTAGATAAGAATGGGGTCTGCTGCTCATTTTCCCAGTTCTATCCTGGGTTACTGTCTGGGAGTCTCTTGGGCCACCCTGGCTAATAACTTAAAAGAATGTATCTCCTGTCTGGCATTGTTTCTTGTTATATAGCCTTTAGATATACACATGGACTCTTAAAGAATTATAGTGATCACTTTAATCCTTGGTTATACTTTCCTTTTGGGTGTTTAAGACCATACAGTTGGCCCAGATTGACCAATTTATTTTTACTCTTAAGGTCATTTGAAGATCTGCTCCTCAGGGGTCACCTGGGCTTGGGAGGAGCCCCTGGCTCCTTTCTTTTACCAGTTCAATCTATGTGAAGATAAGTCAAAGGTCCTGCTCAATCATGGCTGGCTTCACTTGGAAGCACAGAGGAAATATTTCCTCTGTGTCGACCCTCCTCTTTGTAGACTGGACACTGGTTCAAGTCCATCTGGTGGGGTCTCCATGGACTCCTTGATCAAGAGGACAGGTGACTCACCACAGTTACAGGATATTTTGAGAGATGCTCCATAGCCCTCTGGAGCTTAGTTGACCTTGGAGGGCAAGAAGCAAAAACTATTCTTTAAGTCCCTCTGACCAGATTAGTATAGGCCTCAAAGTATGGCTGTTAAGCATCAAAGGTTAGTTCCACCAGTCTGGTACTTTTAATTACCATGCGCTATGTAGATCAAGCTTGGGCAAAAATCAAACGTTCTCCAATAAACCTTGACTAGACATATATTATGTTCCTTGAACTAGTTGTATGTATAATTTGTCAGTAAGTTGTTGGCCTAATATGGTTTCCTCTGGATTTTTTAAAACTAGCTGCGCATTGTTTATCTCACTGTCTAACCCTTCCACCATGGTTTCCCCATTTTTCCCATTTCACCCTTAATAATACTCTTCTTAAAATTCTGTTCAAGACCCACTTATGATTGCATTGAACTTCTGCAAACAGTAGCTTAGGATCTCAGATTATTTTCCAGAATGGCATTTGGGTACCTGAGGAAGGACGGAGACCTGAAGGGGTCCTTGGATCTTCATGCAGTTCTGATTTCTCCTGACTTTGGAGCTGAGCTACCTGGTGACTAACACCTGATACTTAGTTCTCTGCAAACTGGAGGTTTGGCAGGGTTGCTGGGCCTGATAGGCTCACCTTAACTCATAGTGGTGCTGGGCGGGGGGGATCTCCTCATCCTCTGTCATAGACCCCATTTAGTTCAAGTTGTAGTTAGTCCATTTCAGAGGTTCTCCCACAGCATTGCCTCAGGGGATCCTGAGCACTTGGGGGCTTCTGTTTCCACCTCATGGGAAGAACATTTTAGACATGCTTCAGTATAATTGTCCATTTATTTTTTTTATCTTACTCTACAGGATTTACATCAGATGGTAAAGCATGAACATCCCTGTAAAAGTCCCAAATGTGAATTCAGAGTTCGTGCTCACTGGCCCCTTTGTCCAGTTACCTGGAACATTTGCCTGCTTCACTTGTCCCCATGTTGCTCCAGGCTTCTGCTGTCTCCAGTGCATCTTTTGGCTCTACTTCTGTCTAATCTCTCAGGACCAAAAGGGATGGGTTTAGATTTTTCTTCCTCCCATAATTCCCTATACACCCCCTATTCAGAACGCCAGGTGCTTGGTTGTCACAAGTTTAAAGAGTCTATTCTCTGAGCTATCATTTAGGGAAACAGGGAATAAAACTCAGTAACATACATATGGGACAAACATAGTTGTTTATTTTTAAATATATATTATTGAATTTTTGTAAATTTCATACAGTAAATGTTAATCTTATTTAGTCCCTCCCATAGCCTGCCCACAGGACTTCATGCATTTTGTCATACATGTCAAGGCCTGTGGAGTCAAGCTTGTGCACCCAGATGTCCCTAGGTGTGAATTCATCCACTGGAGCCTGATCAACCTATCTAACATCACCCCCTTAAAGAATATCAACTCTCCTTCAACCAGTGGTGGTCATCTGCCAATAGTTCGTCTCCAAAGTTGTGGCCTCCTGCCCATTTCCCCAGTTCTATGCTGGTTTTTGTCTGATTGAGTTTGCATGGGTCTTGTGCATGCTGTCACCGTTGCTCTAAGTTCATACAAGCAAGGTTCCAGGAGTCTGTAAGACTCGATTTATGGTCATGTACCTCCTCCCCTGGGTCTTACAATTTCTCCACCCCCTCTTTCACAATAATCCCTGAACTCTGGGTGGGTAAAGTTTAACATAGGAGTCCTGTCCACTGACTCATACACTGCAGTCTCTTACTTTTAACACTGGAATCTACTCCTAAGGCCCACAGAACACAGTGGAACAGTGGATAGAGAGAATACTATTGCATCTCTCAACTCTGAACAGTGACGCTTCCTCGTACAACAGAAAGCAGTGAACATTGGCCACAACTAGCCAAAGCACAGTTTTTGAGATGTAAAGAAATTGTAAAAAATCTTCCTGTACCATAAATTTGGAATTTGCATTCATATTGGTGCAAATATTATTTTGAATGTCTTTCTTTTTATATTTCCTTTCTCTTAAGTCAAATCTCCCCTTTGACCTGTGTACTGTTGACCGCTAACACACACACACACACACACACACACACACACACACTCACATACTCATCAATAAGATTGGTGAGTGGAGGAGGAAGAAGTTCCTGTGCATTGCTCTTCCCTCTTGGGCAGTGTTGCTATAACTGAACTATACTGATTCTGATGTGGGCTGACTGTTCTTAAAAAGCACAGGTTCCTTCCAGAGTCTGCTTTGAAGACTTTGCTGACCTCTTGGAAGTCTATATGAGGGCTTTAGAGTCAGTGGAGAAGTCCCCCTGAGGCACATTGGACTCAAGAGACAGATCTTAGCCCTCTACTGTGGGCTTGGTGTTATAAAACAGGTGTAACAGTAGCTGAAATGAAAATAACTAACCTTCACTCATTATGTCCTTATTTAACCTTTGCCAAATCATATGCAGATGGTACTTTGAAAAGTTATGTTCACGGGTAAGCAAGCCAGGGCACAGAGAATCTAATTAATTAATGACTCAGTGTCACTCAGGTTTAATAAAGAAGTCATGATTTCAGCCTAACGGATTAACTCTAGAAGCTTCTCTCTTCAATGCTATCCTACTGTTTAGGTGACTTATTATCTATTTTTCTATTCATGTTTTTCTGTGTAGTTATCTGCTTATGGATCTCATTCATTATTTTTTGTTCCTTGTTGATAACTACTTGTTTGAATGGGGGTCAAAGTCATTTGGATGAGGGTCAGAACCTCATGCAGCCATTGAAAACCTGTGTGACAAATACTCCCCGAGAACAGTAGCTTGAAATGCTTTTGTTTCTATTACTGACAACTTGTCATGATTTAAGTCAATAATGACTGCATGAGACAAAGAATAGACATGTGAAATTTCTCAGGAACCGGTCAGTACTTTACAAATATGTCTTAGTTTTATTTTTTATTTTATGTTTTCTGTATGATTGGGTCTAATTTTCAATTTTTTAAATAAAAAAACTTTGTTTATACAGAATATTCCCTCTTTGGCCCATTCAGACAAGCTTGTTATTTATGTTCACAGACAATTAATTTCATTTCCTGACACTTCAGGTGATTCATGTGCTTTAAGATTGGAACTGCCTGTCATCCTATGCTAACATGTTTATATTTTGAACTATTTTATACATGAAATGTGCAGCATACATTTAACGTTCTTAACATATATGTTCTTATTGTATGTATGAAAAAGAGCAAAGGACATTTTATAAAGGGGTTCCAGAATGTTAGGGAATGCTTTGATGATAATGCTCAAGTACAGAAGCATCATTTATACACGGATACGTACAGAAGTGTGCACTGAAAGCAGCTTCAAAGCTGTACTGACTATTAGAAAAATTAAGCCGCTTCTTGGAAGATCAGATTCCTCCTTGCGCTTTGCTCTTGCTGATATGTTAAGTGTGAGGACCACACATCCTTTCCACTTCCTTGGAGAACCCGAGCTGTGGCTGCTACTTCCATCTCAATGCCCGCCTGCTACTGCTACCTGCCTAAAAATTGTCTTTGGCTCCCGGTAAACCTGCAGTCAGAGAGGTATTTGAATTTTCCCTTTCCAGCACTTGCAAATCCGATTTTTATGTATAACTAAGTGCTCTTGGTTTTTACTCTGCCTACTGCTGGGGCCTGGTTTTTAGCAGGCCTGTACCTAAGCCAGATCCGGCCTATGTAATGCTGTTTGTAATGAGAAATCTAAACAGGGAATGGCAGTGAGGCATGGCAGGAATGTGTTTCCATTGGAGGAGAAGTCAGTGCAGAGAAGGGTGAGCACAGCCATGTCCAGAAGGCCTCTTCAGCTGGCCAAGACGGAAGACTAATGTTATTGTACATAGGCTGTTACCCTGCCAGCCCTTCCTCACAGATTTGCTTTCTCTCTCCCTTCCCCTCTCCCTCAACTTCCTCCCCCTTCTTCTCTCCCTTCTCTTTTCTTGTTCTCTCCTTCGAACTCTACCAACTGTTTGCTCAGGTGGACAGTGACACCATTTGGAATGAGCTGCACTCGTCCGGTGCTGCACGCATGGCTGTTGGCTGTGTCATCGAGCTGGCTTCCAAAGTGGCCTCAGGAGAGCTGAAGGTGAGGTCTGGGTTTCATTAAGTGTGGGAAATCCAGAGAAGAAGCTGAAACAGAGATGTTGTTGTTTGGGAATTGTGGGGAGTGTGGTGTGGAAATAAAAGAAAGGAGGTAGAGGGAGGAGGGCAAGGAGATGGCCAGGGAGGTGTGAGCATAACTCCTCTGTGCCCTCTGTATGTAGGGGGATGCTGTCCTGCTTCGAGGGCCGCTTTCCTCTCCAGAATGTTCTGTAGTCAGGGCACACTGGTATGCTTGTAAGAGCATAGAAATGGTGAGAACAGCTTTGGTACAGCATAATATATATATATGTATAAATCTGTCATGCTATCCCAAGGTTCTCTTCTGAAGTGACTTAAAAACTATGATTACTGAATAGCATATATAAGCTTAGAATACCACCCAGAGAGAGGAGGGGGAGAAATGCAAATACCAGACGGAAGGATTGGGAGGAAGAAGGAAATTGTTGATTAGGAGGGTAATGATCCAGAGTGTGTTTTTCCATGAAAGAACTTCAAAAATGAGCTGTGCTTTATTGTTCTTTTCTTTTTATGGTCTCTTCTTTTCTCCATCATATGAAAAGAACAATGTTCAAACCCTGTTTCCCAGTCTAAACAATTTATAAAAGCCAGAAACCTGACAGACGTTGACATTTTATTTGGTATTTTAACAGTGCTATTTAAAGGTATGCCATGTGTGTCTTGAATGTAGTTACCCCAATAAACTTTGTTGGTGCTAACATGGCTTTTTAATGCACTAGTTCACACACTTCATAATATGATCTGGATGGTGATTGATCTGGTATTTTTAGCAATTGTGAGGCTTAAGGGAAATATATCATGGCCAGCAACATCTGCACTGTCAATTTTTAAAATCTAAAATAAAATCTAATTAGGATCTTTTTTTTACATTAAATTAATTGTTATTCAATTATATCTGAATCTTCCACTTGTAATTGAAAATGTAGGATTGTACTATAAACTCTACAGTCTGCCATCTCTCTCAGAAGTCAAAATCTACAGAAATAAACTTTTGATAAGGTAGGTTGCCTTTAAAATAAATGTGCTTGTCTGCATTTGATAAGATTCAGCCTCAGGACATCAACTGCTCATATGGGGGGCTTAATAGGGTCATTAATGAATGTAGTAGTGATGTTTAGACTTTATCTTTGGAAATGACAAAGGGTCAGAGAGATTCAACTTCATGGAGAGGTTTCATTGTCCCCTGTAACATCTTGGGAACAATTGATCTTGCTTGAGTTATGTCATGTACTATAGAAAATTGACATGTTAAAAGAATATTTCAGGGTCTCATTTTCAAAAGGATTCACATGGCAAGCAACTGCCTGGCCTATAGATTTTAAGACTGGGTTGCTATACCCCTTCCCCCACTCACTGTCAAAAGGGATTATGTTAGCATTCACAATTCCTAATCACTTTAATGTGAGGAAATTTAATTGATAATTCAAAAGCTATCATAATTAGAATGCACAGATAATATTTATAATCGTGAAAATATTCATTATCCTTAGCCTCACTGTGTGCAGAATTAATAAATTTATATATGAAGAGAATGGAACACAAACTTAATTCCATTTTTAGCAGGTAGCCATTTAAAATGGCCAGTTACAAATGAAGTGTCAACACAGTGTCATATGGACATGCTGACCACCAGCTGTACTAACATGGACTATTTGTATTAAGAGCAAGAATTCTTACAGATGCTTTTTCTCCCTCTTGTTAAACAATCAGCAGGCATGGTTGTAGAACAAAGTAAAAAGAATAGAGAAAAAGACTCGGGATCATGAAATGTTGGCCCACTCTCTGTCACTTTAGTCCTGCACCATTTATGGAGCATCATGTAGCTTCTCTGGACTGGTTTCCCCATGTGCCACCCAGTAGGTCTGAAAATGTTGAAGGTTATCCAAAATGACACTGAGCTGTTTTCAAATGAAAAAGTAGATTGGGATCTCCATTATGCACCTAAGGTATACACAATAGTAAATATTTGCAAACTTTGGTGAACATTTCTGATTTTGGAATTCATTTATCTTTCTGATTGTCAAGAATAAAGGGAAAAAAAAAGAAAGAAAATCCAAGCTAGGCATCCCCATGACAGGCACTGAATCCATGCTGAAACCCAGAGTTGAGCCCCTGATGGTTGATAATTTGGGGAGCTTACAGGAAAGCCAAGCAGGAAAAGCAAAACCACAAATGATTTGGAGACACAATGAAGAATACACATAATGAGACAGAGCCATGTGTGGGTACCCCTAGCCAACCAGAAACCTACTTCATGTCCACCTGTCTTAGGGGCCAGTGATCAGGCTAATATGCCTGCTGGCCAGGAGCATTGTTGCTCATGGCTTGTGGGCTCTCCTTATTCTGATCAAAGAGGGACATGGGCAACCTTCTTTTAGGACACTGGTAAGTAACACTTAGGAAATATTAATAGAAAAAAATAACATTTTTTTGTCATTTTCTTCATTGTTATTCAATTCTCACGTTTTACCCATTATCTCAGAAAATCAATACCTTAGTATAATATTACTTCTTTTGAGATGCTATTAATTTATCTTGGAAAACAGAAAATAATTAATAGTTTTGTTCAAGAAGGTGCCCAACTGAGAGATGAGGAAGAACTGCGAGAGACCTCTGATCTCATGAAGGCAGGAAAGCTAGATTAGAAATGCACATGGAAGGGCTGGAGAGTTGGCTCAGCAGTTAAGGGCACCGATTGTTCTTGCAGAGGACCCAGGTTTAATTCCCAACACCCTCGTGGCAGCTAACAACCATCTGTAAGTCCAGTTCCAGGGCATCTAACACCCTCTTCTGATCTCCACTGGCATTGCATGGTGTGGGTGTACCTACCTACATGCAGACAAGACACTCATACACATAAAATTTAAAAAAATAATAATAAAGAAATGCACATGGAAAAGGAAGTACTGAAGATACTCTTTTTCTCTTAAATGATGACTATGTAAAGCAATATTAAAAATATGTCCTTGTGGGACTGGAGAGATGGCTCGCAGTTAAGAGCCCTGACTTCTCTTTCAGAGGACCTAAGTTTGATTCCCAGCACCCACATGGTGGCTAACAACTGTCCATAACTCCAGGTGCAGGGGATCCCACACTTCTGACCCCTGTGTGCACTGGACAGCATGGGTGCACTTACACACATGCAGGCAATACACTCATACACATAAAATAATAAATAAAAATATTTTAAAAGTCTGTCTTTATGATTTGTATACGTTGTAAAAAATACAAGTTATATACTAACAACACAAAAAAGGATGTCAAGAATGGAGCTCCATAAAAATCAAACTGCCTTTGGATATATTTGAAAATGCAGTGTCATAACTTAATTGTTAAATGTTAAAGTGATAATTGCAATCCACTGGACAAGCACTAAGAAAACAAGGAGAAAAAAATACACAAAGTCAAATGACACACTAAGAGAATTTCTATTTTCAAGCAGCACAGTGATGCGGAAGTAGAAAATAAGCCCTGGCTGGTCAGCGGTTGGGCATGTGGTGAACTCACAAAGAACATGGTTCAGTTTCCACCACCAACACAATGGTTCACCACAACCTGAGCTCTTACACCTTCTTCTGGACTCCCAGAGCACCAGGAACTCCAGTGGTGCACATACATACATGCAGGCAAAACACTCATGCACATAAAATCAATCAACCATTTTTTTAAAAGACACCATGTAGAAAACAGACTCCAAAGCCATGTCTACTACCGTAAGCCCACACAAAGGCCCTGCCTTCCCATCTCAGATCTTAAGCTACTTGTCAATCTTGTGGGCATAAAGTCATCCTAAAAGTGTTTCAATTTGCATTCCCAAGCCATGGATGGTATTAAGCTTCATTTTCCATTCAGACTTCTAATAATACAAAACATTTTGCATGCCTATAACCCATTTTTCTATTTCCAATTAATTTTTAGTAAATTTAAAAAATACTCTGTGTATTGGTACTCTACCACATTTAAGTATATTACATTTCTTCTTGAGGTAACTTGTGTCGCTTGTTGAATAACAAATATTTCAAAAAGAAATTGTTGTTTTCCTGGCTTTTTCTCTTTTGTGTCTTGGTTAAAATGTGCTTTTGAGCTTTGCAATTACAAAAATACTCTCCTATATTTTCTTTATTAAGACATGACTTTTACATTTAAGTCTTAAGTCTATTTCTTATACTGTTAAATATATACCTCTTGTTTCTTTCTTTTTTGTTTTTTTGTTTATTTGTTTATTTGAGAATGGTTTTTACACTTTAGTCCAAGTTGGCCTGGAAGTCACTGTGTAGCCCAGGTTGACCTCAAACTAGTAATTATTCTGCCTCGGCCTTTTGAGTGCAGGACTGAAGGCATGTCTGGCTAACATGACTAACTGTTTCCTTCACCATCCATTTTTTGTTATATGATCTGTGTAGAGTTCCATGAGGGCTGCTTAAGACACAAGGAGCAAGCTTTCCAGTATAGTGATAGGCTTTTTTGGTTATCCTTATAAGGCTGTTAGTATATGCTTTATATATTTTGAAGCTGTTATTAGATATAGAAATTTATGATTATATCTTTTCAGACATAGCTTGCTTTCTTTTCCTAATATTTACCTGCTTTATTATTGACTATGCTTTTACTTTAAAACTTTCTCATTATTCTATACTACACCTGTCACGTCCAAACACAATGTAGCTGGATCTATTTCCACCATGACAATGTATTTTAATTCAGGAGTTCAATTCATTCATGATTCTATAATCTACTCACTTTTTCACCTTTTTCCATGTACACCATTTTTGTGTGTTTCCTAATCCTCCATTCTGGCATTATTTTTCTTCCCAGTAGAATGAGAAGTGTTTTCACTGATGATTTCTTGGTGTTTCCTTATCTTGGATGCCTTTTTTCCCTCTTTCTTGAAGTATAGACTCCTAAGTGCACAGTTCACAATTGACAGTTTCTCTCGTCTAAGTGAAAGATTCTTCACGCTTTCCT